TGGACTCCAGGTGTACCCAGTCTGAGGAACATTTGGAGAGGCTGGACGTTAGAACGCACAATGTTTCTAAGCTTCTGTTGTCAGACGTGACTCGTGACCTCAGACTCGGTGGATCCAGCTCTGACTTGAGTTTTGTTGGTTCTTAGAGGAGGGAGTCAGCCCAGGAGTCCAGCTGGCCTTCGCCTCCATCCTGGGAGAATCGGCTGAAGCGCCATCATCAGATGAAGAGGAGGAGGAGGAGGAGGATAGCTTGAGCTATGTGGATGATGAAGAGGACAAGGACTACAATGTGAAGGAGGAAGAACTGGTAAAGACTGAAAAGACACTGAGGCCGGGACGAGGGGGGAGGAAGAGAGGAAAAAGAGGAGTGAAGAGCAGGCTGGGAGGTGAAGAGGAGGAGGAGGAGGAGGAGGATGAAGGCATGTCGGTGGGAGATGTGTTCAAGCTGGAGATGGAGCTGAACAGAGAGAACAAGAAGCTGATGAAGGTGAGGAGGAGGAAGGTCCTGCTTCCTGTCCCGTTTCGGGTCTGACTGTGTTTCTGTCCAGGCTCGTCGTCATGGCAGCAAGCTGCCCCAGGCTCTCCGGGGTCTGATGGGGGAGGCCAACATACGCTACGCCAGAGGAGAGAAGGAGGACGCCATCTTGATGTGCATGGAAATCATCAGGCAGGGTATGACCCGAGTGCACCCGGTTGGTTCTGTGTTGGGTTCTACTAACCCACATATCACTGTCCTGCAGCCCCTCTGGCCTACGAGCCCTTCTCCACCCTGGCCATGATCTACGAGGACAACGAAGACGTTGACAAAGCTCTACAGTTTGGACTCATCGCTGCCCACCTGAACCCGTCGGACTGCGAGGAGTGGATCCGATTGGCTGACATGTCTCTGGAGCAGGACAACGTCCGGCAGGCCATCATCTGCTACAGCAAAGGTTGGTCATCTCTCAGCTTCCTGCGTTTTACTCTCTTCTGTGTGGAAACTAATACAAGAAGTTCAAAAAACGTTCACTACAAAAAAAAACAAAGTCCAGTTGTTTTTGTATTGAACGTTTTCTGAATTCATCATGTCCTGGATGACCGAGAGTCTTCACCAGCGTAATCCAAGAAGTTCAAACTACCCCAGTACAGACGGCGCAGGCGTCGCAACCATTATATGTGAAGGGGGCGTGTCCCCCACACATAAAAAAAAAAGTTCATTTGGACCCCCTCACTTTTGCTATGAAACACTTCAGTCGGCGCAGTCTCTCTTCCTGGTGAACGAATCCATTCCACTTGATCAACAGGAGAATACTCAAACCAGTAAAACTCCACTCCAGGTTTTCCTGGTTACCTCCAACTCTCCACCAACCTCTCCTGCAGGCAAACTGAAGGCGTATCTGGGGGGGCACATCTGATTAGACGAGGCGTATCCAGGGGGTCATATCTGATTGGACTAGAGGAAAATGGGCGTGTCTGGCGG